ATATTCCCTACCTCCATAACTCGATTTTTGAGGATAAATTACTCTTTTTTTAAAAAAAAAAAAAAATCTTCTCTGCAGCTCAGCTATATAAATATGGATAGATGGCTCACGTTTGGGAGCACACACACACACACACACACACACACACAAAACCCCTCACAATGATTACTATGTATTATTTGCATCTGTGATACGCCTCTCTCTTCCCATTTGATATTTTCCCCGGAATACAGATAGTCCTTGACTTACAACTCTTTCTTTAGTGACCGCTCAAAGTTATGACGGCACTGGAAAAAAGTGACTTACAAACGATTTTCACATTGGTTGCCATTGGTTGCATGAATCAAAGTTTGGCGCTGGGCGACTGGCAGATATATATTTATGAGAGTGGTCCCAGTCGGCTTCTGGCAAGCCCAGTCAATGGAGGGAAGCCAGATTCACCCTTATTGACTGCATGATCCACTTAACATGGGCAGGGCATAAAATGGGTCAAAATTCACTTAGCAACTGCCCTTGCATAGCTTTGGAATTTGTGGGCTCAACTGAGGTTGTAAGTCAGGGACTAGTTGTAGCTTGCCACAAAACTATGAGGCTAGAATAGAATAAAGTAGAGGAGAGTAGAATTAGAAAGAATAGAATAGGAATAGAACAGAACAGAATAGAACAGAATTAGAAAGAATAGAATAGAATAGAATGCAGAATAGAATAAAATAGAATAGAACAGAATTAGAATAGAATTAGAAAGAGTAGAACAGAGTAGAGTAGAATAGAATTAGAAAGAATAGAATAGAATTAGAAAGAATAGAATAGAATAGAATAGAATTAGAAAGAATAGAATAGAATAGAATAGAATAGAATTAGAAAGAATAGAATAGAATAGAATTAGAAAGAATAGAATTAGAAAGAATAGAATAGAATTAGAAAGAATAGAATTAGAAAGAATAGAATAGGAATAGAACAGAATTAGAAAGAACAGAATAGAATAGAATGCAGAATAGAATAAAATAGAATGCAGAATAGAATAAAATAGAATAGAATAGAACAGAATTAGAATAGAATTAGAAAGAGTAGAACAGAGTAGAGTAGAATAGAATTAGAAAGAATAGAATAGAATTAGAAAGAATAGAATAGAATAGAATAGAATTAGAAAGAATAGAATAGAATAGAATAGAATAGAATTAGAAAGAATAGAATAGAATAGAATTAGAAAGAATAGAATAGAATTAGAAAGAATAGAATAGAATAGAATAGAATTAGAAAGAATAGAATAGAATAGAAGCTGGAAGGGATCTTGGAGGTCTTCTAGTCCAGCCCCCTGCTCAAGCAGGAGAACCTAGACCATTTCACACAAGTGACCGTCTAGACTCTTCTTAAAAATCTCCAGTGATGGAGTGCCTACGATTTCTGGTGGCAAGCTGTTCCACTGGTTAATTATCCTCACTGTGAGGAAGTTTCTCCTATGGTCTATGGTCATGGTGACTTGCTATCCCTTATTTTCCAGGGGAGGGAGGGAGGAACCTCTTTACAACTACTACTTTCCTAGTCCAGTCAACAGCTTGAATTAAGACAGACGCCCATTTCAGAGAACAGGGAGAGCTTCTTGGTGGAATAGCATCTTCTTCCCCAAAGAGAGAGACGGAGTGAAGCACACTCATGCTTGCTGTGCCTCTGAAGCTGTGTCTACTTTCGTGCAAAGGAGAATCCAAGCCTGGTTCATGAAGCCAATTGTTGTTTGCAAGACACAACCAAGGGCGGTTGCTTCATTAAAGTTCCGTCTTAGAAGGAGGGATTTATTTTATTTATTTATTTATTTATGAGACTTATATTCCGCTTCATGGAGTTGCAGGGATGACCTGCAACTCCATGAAGCCACTCAGCTGACACAAGTACGTAAGCAGTCAACTAAGTTATTTTGCTAAATTCTTCCCCAAAATACAAAAAAATGGTGCTTCGTGTTAAAATTAGCACCATCCTTCAAAGCTAGCGTACATGGTATAAGGAGACCTAATATACAAGAAGGACTAGGGGAGATGTGATAGCAGTGTTGCAATATTTGAGGGGCTGCCTCAAAGAAGAAGGAGTCAATCTATTCTCCAAGAGATCAGAAGCCATGGATGGTCAGGTTATCCGAGAGCCATCTTGCTCCAAGAAGGCTCCACACCCATTTGCACCACTCAGCTGACCCGGAGGACACAGATAATCCTCCAAGTGGCCTCAATGACCATCTAAAAGGAGGCAAATGGCCAGCTGTCTGCAAGGAGTATAAATCCTTCCATTCCTCACCATCCAGTCAGAGCTGAAGCAGCTTCTGGGATGAGAAGCAAAATGTCTTCAAAGAATAACAAGAAAGTCCAGTTGCGTCTTGAAAAAAGCACTTTGGGGAAACGATGGCGTGTTCTTAGAAAACAACTGCTGTGATGTTCAGGTCATAAATCATAAGATACCCAGAAGGCAAATGAGATTGCTCCTCTCTACATTGTCTAGCTTTGCAACGTCTTTTCTGCATTCGTTGTTTACCTCTGTTGTTGTAGTTTTAAGCTCAAAAACAGCAAGATATATTGGCCACTATTATTATGGTTGGTTGTATAGTCAGCAGACATTTATTTATTTATTTATTTATTTATGAGACTTATATACCGCTTTAAGCGCAAGCACTCTCTAAGCGGTGTACACCAGTAAGCAATGTATAATATATATTTACATTGCCCCCAACAATCTGGGTCCTCATTTTACCTACCCCGGAAGGATGGAAGGCTGAGTCAACCTTGAGCCGGTGAGATTTGAACCGCTGACCTGCTGAACACAGTCAGCTAAAGTGGCCTGCAGTACTGCACTCTAACTGCTGCGCCACCTCGGCTCATGTTTAGGCTGGATTTGGCATTTTTGCCCACCTACCAAGTCCTTCCCTTGGCATGGGCAGATTTTGTTTAATAATCTAAAGTTATTATTGCAGGTTATATGGGTGGGCAATCTATGGTTAGCTTCATAGTCTGTCAGAATCCAATTATATTTCATCTCTAGTTATCAACTATAGAAAACCCCGTTTCTGCCTTCTCTGGATTCTGTCATACAATGAAGGGAAGGGGGTGAACAAAGGGGCTTTATGGTCCTCACTTCCTTCAGTACACGTCAAAGGGACTGGATGTGAATATCACCAAAACCATAACAATGGGGCTATTACCTTTCATGTACTCCTCTCTGAAGTCTCCATCCAGCCAGCAGTAAGGAAAAGGGGACGGGAGTGTAATGCCTGAGACTGTCGCTGGAAGAAGGGGGTGATTGGATGGGGCTACTGGGGAACCCCTTAAAACCTTGAATGGGAGAGCTTGGACCCCAAGTCCTGTCTATAACGCCTGCAACCATTTTCTCTTAATAAAGGATGCCTGTTGGAAGAACTATTCCAAGAGTTCTGTCTTCTTAAGATGCAAAGTGGGGTGGGTCCTTACATAGTCTAAGACTGGTGGAAACATAATAATTCAAGTCCTAACCAAAGACCTAAGATATTATCCTTGGTTGGACAGACAGATATTTATACTGGATACTCTAGACCTGGGGTCCCCAACCTGAGGGCTGTGTCCAGTACTGGGCCGAGGCTCTCGGCTCCGGGCTACGGGAATGGCTGGTGGGAATGGTCTAGACCAGATTTGAGTGGTGTGATGGACTAGTGGTGAAGACATTCGCCTCACACTTGGAAGGTTGAGAGTTCAATCCTAACTACCAGTGGATATTTCTCTGCTAGGGTGCAAAGAAAAAAAATAATCTGTTATTCTATTCTATGCATATTATAACGAGGCCCGGTGGTTCAGTGGCTTAAGGATGTAGGAGATGATTTCAGCTCCGGTGGTTTGAGCCCTACTCTGTGGGTTGGGGTGAGCTCCCATCACTTGCCTCAGCTGCTGCCCACCTTGCAGTTTGAAAGCATGTTCTATGCGAGTAGATAAAATAGATACAACTTCAGTGGGGAGACGAGCTGGCGCTCTATGTAGGCAGTCAGATTCTGGATTGATGCTGAATCTTCCTGGTTGTGGTGCCTGCTTGTGAGGCAGCTCCGGGAAGGGGGGGGGGCTTGGTGACACTCCAGAAAGAGCCACTCATCTTTGGTGCAAAGCCAGCTTGCTCACCTGTGGCACACCTTGGGAAGGGCACAGGCGTTTTCTCTAATAGGGCTGGTACCTTGACAAGCCAAAATACTACCTTGCAATAGCATTGTGGTCTCCTGGCTACCGTAACAATGCCATATGCTAACAACAACAACAACAACAACAATAACAACTCAGATGCTACCTGAAAGCTCTTAGGTTCTTGGTTAGGACTTGAATGGTGACCTGGCCATCGAAACTGCACGATGATGGACAAAACGTCTAATAGTGATACCCATTGTCATCAGGGCACTGGGAACTATGTCCAAAAACTTTGCAAAATACATCAAGAAACTGCAGCTTCCTGCAATAACTCCAGCAATGTTACAAAAAACTGTACTACTTGGAACATCTTACATTTTAAGGAGGTACCTGGTTGACACCGAGGATGCTGGTAGCAACCCGTGTCAACCATCAGCGCCAGCCAACTTGAATGCTCAGTTGACTGAGGTTCATGTCTAATGAATAAAAGATAATAATAATAATAATAATAATAATAATTATTATTATTATTATTATTATTATTATTACTCAGACGCTACCTTAAAGCTCTTAGGTCCTTGGTTAGGACTTGAATTGTTAGGTTTTTACCAGTCCCAGACTGTGAACCCAATTGAAGATTAAATCTATAATAACAATAATAAGTCAGCGACATGAAAACTGTGGCAGCGGGGACTCATTTCTCACTGACACAACAACACAGGGATTTCACTCAAGCATCCGAAAACACAAAGCTCGCTCTAGCTCTCTTCCGGGAACGTGTACACCTTATAGCGGCAAATCTAAAAAAAAGAACACTTTCTTGATGGAACCGATTTTGCACATGTCGTTTCAGGGGGAACTACGTTGCCTGGGACTCACCTGTGTGAAAGGGAAGGTTTCATGGAGTTCATGGGTGCCTGCATGGGCAGCTTCCCCGGAGGGTCGTTTTGCCGGCTTTTCTGGTGGCGTAGCAACAGGAGTCTTCCGAGTTCTTCACACCACGATGAAAGCAGTGCTGGAGGAAGGAAGGGAGAAAAGAGAGAGAGAGAGAGAGATAAGAAGAAAATATACAGTAGCTTGCGGGACAGGCACCTGAGCAAGGGAACTGGTTATATTGGACAATCCTAATTTCATTCCTGCAAATCCGTGAAGAGCTTCTGTGTTTGCACCCCCTGGTCCCTCACATAGAAACCGCTGGGCAAAATTCTTCTCTTCCACCAGCAACCACAGGTAGGGAGGGCCATAAGCACATTCCCTCCAACTGATCATCAGGATGGGGCAAAGAAATCAGGGCTCCCCCTCCATTTTTTAAAATAAAGTTGTGTCCTTCTGTATGGTAATCAAAGGAAGGAAGGAAGGAAGGAAGGAAGGAGGGGAGGGAGGGAGGAAGGAAGGGAGGAAGAGAGAAAGGGAGGAAAGAAAGGGAGGAGGGAGGGAGAAATGAAGGAAGGGAGAAAGAGAGGGAGGGAGGGAGAAAAGGAAGAAAGGAGAAAGGGCGGACAGAGGGAGGAGCCTAGTTTTTTACCCCAGCGCTGGAATGTCCATTAATCATCTAAGGACAGAGCATATCATACATACAAAACTAATTACAGTGGCAAATGAACTTTGATGATAAGTCAATACCTACAAACGTAAATAGCCAGGTATGCAAAAAATGCAATGGGAGCTGAAGCCACTTCTGATTTCCTGTAGGCTTCCCCATTGACTTTGCTTGGGGGAAGCCGGCAGGGAGCATCGGAAATCAGGATCACGTGGCTATCGGGGTGCTGCAACGGTCCCAAACATTGCGAATAAAACTGACCTGAACACCATGGGTGTTACAATTCCACAAGAGTAAGTGGCTTTAGATTTATTAATTTTTTTACGCCTGCTTTTATGCCTTCTCACTGAAAAAAAGTAACTGAGGACCATTTTTCACACTTAGGGCTCTTGCTGCATCCCACTGGTTACCTGATTTATATTTGGATGCTTGACAACTGATTAACATTTATGACGGTCGCAGTCTCACGTGAACCCCTTTTGCAACCTTTTGTAACTCTTATACTACATTGTGTTATAAGCCGAGAGTTCAGATCTGAATGTTTCTCTGTTGGCCAAGGAATCCGAGAAGAACCTTTTGATCAAACAGGGCTCCACTTTTACCCACCCAGCCCCGAGAACATGAGTAAGTGGCCAGCAACAAAGGCTATTCATCCTCCCTGTTTTCATTTCTTTTTTACACAGCTGGGCAGATCACAATCACCACCTAACACTGCAGGGTAGCCACGTGAATTCTGGGGGGGGGGAGAGCACTAGGAGGAGAAAAGAGAATGCAGGAAACCTTCTGGCAAATTGGAAACGCAGCCAGTGCGCGAACAATTGCCAATGCAAAGCACCTCGTCGCCAGCCAAATGCAATTAGGATGGTGTTCGATGGAAACTGTCCATCTCCACCACTGCAACCTTGATGCAGGGTGCGAGTTGCTCTTTCTACGGGCGCAGCAAATGCCTCCCCCCCCCGTCAATCAAGGTAAAAAGGCACAAACAGTTGCCCGTTTTTTTTAGGATGGATCTGCAAGGAGGCAGAATGAGAAAGCAGAATGAAAAAAGGAAGTGAGCAGGAGCAATAGCAACATCAGGTGGATACAGGTAGAGAAAGACAGCAATAGCAGTAGCAATAGCACTTAAGACTTATATACCGCTTCACGGTGCTTTACAGCCCCTCTCTAAGCGATTTGCAGAGTCAGCTTATTTGCCCCTAACAATCTGGGTCCTCGTTTTACCAACCTCGGAAGGATGGAAGGATGAGTCAACCTTGAGCCTGTCAAGATCGAACTGCTGGAAGTTGGCAGAATCAGCCTGCCATACTGCACTCTAACCCCTGCGCCACTAAGTGTGGCAAAGGCTATTTGGTTATCTCAGCAGATGAAAGGAAGAAAAGCAAACAAGCAAGGAAGGAAGGAAAGAAAGAAAAAGACAGGAAGGAAAGAAGGAAGGAAGGAAAGAAAGAAAGAAGGAAGGAAGGAAAGAGACAGGGAGGAAAAAAGCAAGGAAGGAAGGAAGAAAAGAAAGAGAGAGAGAAAGAAAGAGGAAGGAAAGAAAGAAAAAGACAGGAAGGAAGGAAGGAAGGAAGGAAGGAGACAGGGAGGAAAAAAGCAAGGAAGGAAGATAAGAAAGAGAGAGAGAGAGAGAGAGAGAGAAAGTAAGAAAGAAAGAATGAAAGAAAGAAAGAAAGAAAGAGGAAGGAAAGAAAAAAGACAGGAAGGAAGGAAGGAAGGAAGGAAGGAAGGAAGGAAGGAAGGAAGGAAGGAAGGAAGGAAGAAGAGACAGGGAGGAAAAAAACAAGGAAGGAAGGAAGGAAGGAGAGAGAGAGAAAGAAAGAAAAAGACAGGAAGGAAGGAAGGAAGGAAGGAAAGAAAGAAGAAAAGAAAGACAGGAAGGAAGGAAAGAAAGACAGGGAGGAAAAAAGCAAGGAAGGAAGGAAAGAAGGAAGGAAAGAAGGAAGGAAGGAAGGAAGGAAGGAAGGAAGGAAGGAAAGTAGGATCCAAGCAGGAGGTGCCAGAGGCCCACCTCCAATGGTGCTTGAACAATAACGAGGGCACAAATGCCCCTTCGCTGTTCTTCTGACGGCACCCGGAGCAGAGAGGCCGGCGGTCTCCGTTTCATGAACGGATCACACACTGGGCACAAAGGCAGCCACAGATGGTGCCAACAGCCAGGCGGCTCCTTCCCACCCAGAGCAGCTGTGTTTTCCCTCTTTCCCAGCCTCTATTAAGCGGGAGTGCAGATGCACAGATGGAGCCCTTCATCTCCACTTTCTGCCGGAGTTTAAGGATTGGATCTGGGCCCATTGGCCGGGCTGAGTGGCTTTTCTCCTGCAGAGCGAAGCGTTCGGAAGGCAACCACGTTTCCCCCCAGCTCTTCCTCCTTTTGTTGGGGATATTATGGGGCATGTTTTCTGCTCCCCACCAGGATCCTCGCTCCAGTCACCTAGAACTCATCCGACAAAAATGATTTAAGAACTCAAATGATAAAGGAGTTTATGACTTAAAGAATAACAGAATGCCAGAGTTGGAAGGGACCACAGTCCCTCCTAGCCTTCTAGAACGTCTTCTGGTCCAACCCGCTAATCAAGCAGGTGATCCCAAACCATTTTGGACAAGTGGTTGTCCAAACTCTTCTTAAAAACCTCTAGTGATGGAGCACCCACAACTTCTGGAGGCAAGTCGTTCCTCTGGTTAATTGTTCTCACTGTCTGGAAATTTCTCCTTAGTTCTAGGTTGCTTCTCCTCTTGATTTGTTTCCATCTGTTGTTTCTTGTCCTGCCTTCAGGTGCTTTGGAGAATAGCTTGACTCCCTCTTCTTTGGGGCAGCCCCTGAGATACTGGAACATTGGCTATCATGTCTCCCTTCGTCCTTCTCTTCATTAAGCTAGACATACCCAATTCCAGCAACCGTTCCTTATATGTTTTAGCCTCCAGTCCCCTAATCATCTTTGTTGCTCTTCTCTGTACTCTTTCTAGAGTCTCAACATCTTTTTTACATTGTGGTGACCAAAACTGGATGCAGGATTCCAAGGGTGGCCTTAACAAGGTGTTATAAAGTGGTACTAACACTTCGTGTGATCTTGATTCTATCTCTCTGTTAATGGAGTCTAGGACTGCATCAGCTTTTGAGCATCTGATTTGATCAAATGCTCCATTGGCATTTGGAAATGTGGGAAGCTCATGGGATTTAGGATCACCTTCTCCTTTCCATCTTCCTCTTTCGTTCTGCACAGGTAGTCCTTGACTTACAACTCTTCACTTAGTAAAAATAATAGTAGAATAGAGCTGGAAGGGACCTTGGAGGTCTTCTAGTCCAACCCCCTGCTCAAGCAGGAGAACCTATACCATCTCAGACAAGTGACTGTCTAGCTTCTTCTTAAAAATCTCCAGTGATGGAGCGCCCACGATTTCTGGTGGCAAGCTGTTCCACTAGAACACTGTTCAACGGTCCTGACTTGTGACCATTCAAAGTTACAACAGCACAGAAAAAAGTTACTGAGGGCCCTTTTTCACACTTACGTCCATTGCAGCATCCCCATGGTTAGGTGATCAAAATATGGACGTTTAGCAACTGATTCATATTGACGACGGTTTCCCCACACTATATATGTGATTGTCCTTGCAGAATGTTCCCGGGGTCATGTGACCTTTTGTGACCCCTTTTGTGACCTTCTGACAAACAAAGTCAATTGGGGAAGCCAGTTTCACTTAACAACTGTGTCGCTAACTGAACAATTGCAGGGATTCGCAGAACAATTGATTGCCAATGATTAATTGGATGCATACATGTTGTTTACATATTGCAACAATATGGAGATTGACCGTCCAGGATGTTTTTACAATTTTCCAATCTTTGAGAAAAGCTAAGCAGGGTCATCCCTGGTTAGTATTTGGATGAAAGGCTTCCTAAGACCCTGAAGACAAATAACATCTTATAAGAAGGGAGAAGAAAACCACTTCCTTATGGCTATCAAGAAAACAATGTGGACTTTTCCACGAATTAATTAGGAGCAGAGCGTGACTCAGGGAGAACTTATTTGAGTTTTTAGTTACACCGTGTAGCATTCAGGAGTTTACACTGAGATCTATTAAAGGAACAGGAGAAATGGCAATACCTAAAGCAGTACTATTTAATTTCCTCTGCGGTGAAATAGGAGTAATCTTTGATCAAGCGGAGAGGACCAGAAATTAATTAACTGGTTTAAAAGTCAAGCCGCCTAAACTCCAGGATCAGATGTTCTGATAACGTGGGAATCGGAGAGAGAAGGGCACAAAATGATTGGTTTTTTCCCTACGTGTGGGTTGTCAAAGCACCGTAGCATCCATGTACTGTAGCAAAATCCTAAATTAACGCTCTCTCTTCTGAACCGATTGCCCGCCATCAATTAATCAACTAAAGTCTAACTCAGTGGTTCTCAACCTGTGGGTTGGGACCCCATTTGGGGTCGAACGACCATTTCACGGGGGTCGCCAAACAACGCAGTCCACCA